CATCAACACTGATTATTTATTACAATTTAGCATCATCAAACATCAGGCTATCATCAACACTGATTATTTATTACAATTTAGCATCATCAAACATCAGGCTATCATCAACACTGATTATTTATTACAATTTAGCATCATCAAACATCAGGCTATCATCAACACTGATTATTTATTACAATTTAGCATCATCAAACATCAGGCTATCATCAACACTGATTATTTATTACAATTTAGCATCATCAAACATCAGGCTATCATCAACACTGATTATTTATTACAATTTAGCATCATCAAACATCAGGCTATCATCAACACTGATTATTTATTACAATTTAGCATCATCAAACATCAGGCTATCATCAACACTGATTATTTATTACAATTTAGCATCATCAAACATCAGGCTATCATCAACACTGATTATTTATTACAATTTAGCATCATCAAACATCAGGCTATCATCAACACTGATTATTTATTACAATTTAGCATCATCAAACATCAGGCTATCATCAACACTGATTATTTATTACAATTTAGCATCATCAAACATCAGGCTATCATCATCTAGCCTCATCTAGTATTATTAACTTCTTATTAACCGAACGCGAGGTGTGTACAGAGAAATATCGGACCGAGGTCTTTTTTGTACAGACCGAGCCCGTAGGGCGATGTTTGTACGAAAAGACCGAGGTCTGCGATATTTCTCTGTACATACCGAGCAAGCGAGGTTAATAAAAAGTTTATTATATGGCATTTATAGACATTTATACTTGAAACAAACAAATGCATGATTTGAAATGCATATTAGTAGCACATATGGTCGAAGAAAACAAAAAATACCAATGTATTCCTTCTTTTCCACTAAAAACCATTCGCAGATATCTTATTAATTAATAACAAATTAAATTATAAGTTTTCAATTTTCAATTAGTTTTGCTATTTACTCGAGTGCCCTGGCGAGTATAGGTTTCGGCACGCATTTTTAGTGGATCAGCAATAGTGGATCAGCAATAGTGGACAGCAATAGTGGATCAGCAATAGTGGATCTCCAATTTTCTTCGATAGCCACAAAATAGAATATTAATGAGCTGCCTAATATCAAAATGGCGGCCTTTCGTGGAGTGGGCAAAATATTTCAAACAATTTCGTTAAAAATTTCAACGAATTGTACCTGTTTTTTATGGATTTTGCATTGTGTCTAACTCTAGACATTCTTGCTAGTTTAGTTAATGCATTTTTCTTGGTGCACGGCTCTGAAAATCCGAAATTTGGATCGTCGAATTCCCATGCACGATCATAATATTCATATAATATACTGAATCTGGATATAAACGAGCCAAAGGCAAAGACAATTTCAAGGTAAAAGGTTATAACTTACAGTAAACTACACAACGTAGTTTTAATAGATAACTTAGTACTTTATGAGAAGCATATTAGTGTCATATCAATATAAAATTTATCCAACAACAGTCTCTATTAAATAGTTATTAGTTAATAGCTGTGGAAACGTGAAAACTGTGGTGTGAAATATAATGTATTCGTAATCGGCCTAATGGCGCAATAAGGATAAAAATACCAACGTTCGATTCAGCGTAAGAAATTGTACTTACGGATGTCAAATGTATTACTAAACAACAGTATTCTAGCGATTTATGGCCTTTATCTTTAAAATCCAAGCGAAATTGTATTGCGAACGAATCGCTCAAAACTATTCAACTAATTATAAAAAATGCAGTACGTTTGATCCTTGATAACTTTGGTATCGTTGGTTTTCTCTTTTTCGGCCGTATACCAGTGGATTTGTCTCACTTTTCTCTTCATTTTGATAGTATTTTGAGCCCAAAAGCCCCAAAATATTTTATTTTGAACGTAATTTTATTTTGAACGCGCAGTTTAGTATTTGTATGTCTGATTGTATAAAATCCTGAACTGGGTCATTATATTAACAGAAACTTCAAAACTGAGCCTCCTACCTGCAATACAAACCTAGCCAATTTGAGAGCGGCAGCACTCTCCCTTTGACAAGCAAAATCGACTGGTATGAGACATTAAACTAATAAAGTAGGGTGCATGATTGCATGGGGCACAATGCAAGTCAGTGGGATATAAATAACAATATTATAACATGGTATTCACCTAAATAGACAGAGCACTGTTATATGTTGATATAGTTCAAAACAGAGTGAACAAAACTGTAACTGAAAAGTTTAATCTTCAACTCTTTCGCGCTCGTATTCGACTTTTCCGCTTAGCTTGGGACAACCAAGGGACAACCTTAAATCTTAATTAAAACAACTGTATACTGCATGCATGTATCATATATGGTAATGTGCGTGTTTGTATAGCCCCAGCGAGTTAACGCTCTATAGAGCGTCTTGTTTGTTTTAAAATGCATGCGTTTGTTTTTACGTAATGGACCGCCGGTCCATTACGGGGAAATAATGGACCGCTGAAAGTGCTTCTCAGCCAATCACAATCCGCCATTTCACCGGAAGTGATGTTTGCCATATAACAATAACCATTTTATCAACCATCTATCATTATCAAATATATAGTATAGCATCATTTACCAACATATAACATCATACCAATACCATTATTGACCATCGTCCATACCACAATAACATGCACAATTTCAGCGTATTAAGGCCGGTTTACACCTGCAATTTTTGCTGCGATTTTCGGCTTCATCTGATGTGTTAATGGTGTGACTGTATATACCAATGTATTGTCATGGCGTAGGTAGAAAAATAAGCGACCATAATGAAGAGGTGACCATAAGGAGGAGTTTGTGTTTTTACGTGTACGGTAGAAAACTGATAAAGTTACAGTAAGAAAAAACTCACGATATAGAGATAGCAGTTGTGTTTTGTAATTATTACCACGTGTGTTATAAATATGTTTCAAGGTATCAGATGTATGTGGTGAAATATTCTTTTCACTGGGATATCTACGTTTAGCCCAAAGATTGGCTGTTGTTGTAATTAAAGTTATTAACCTGGCAAAAATGAACGACGAACCGCCTGGTGGGTATTGTTGTTACTCGTCGATTGTAATTTTGACAATATCCTTGTAACGGTCTTCACCGTCAGTTTCTGCAAAACTTGAAACAAATAGTTTCAAATATTTTTTGGCATGCACGTTCCACGCCCATACTTCGTTGCTCTTCGCAGCATGGGCCTGGCGACGAGGATGTCCTTTTGGTTTCAAAACTTTGATGAGAGTCGGAGCTATGATACTTTCTAGTCCTATAGCTTTGCCGATAGTGTATGTTTAAGCTAAGTGGGGGAAGTGCATATGATGGGGGGGGGGGGTATGCTCTAATCATCCTTACTTTTACGTGAGCGCTAAGCTGAACAGCATGAATGACGCAGCTCAACTTGATCAAGTACTAAGGCTTTCTAAGGGCTCTTCTGCCTGCCAGCTTATGACTCATGTCTGCATGAGCAGTTGGCTTTGGGCTTACACCAACCCACCCTGTCAATATTCCCCTTTGAAGAAAACCAGAATGCCCGGAGAAAAACACGCGACTTTCGGTAGAGCGTTGACTGACTCTTTTCACCGAGTCTTCGGTTGAAGATTGCGCCACCGAAGCCCTACTAAGGCATGTCTTAGTTGCGAAAGTTATTGACCGTCGGCAACTATAATAAGTACTACTTGGATAACTCAGTCATGCAGTCAGTGAATTAGTCAATCAATCACCTTACTTAAAAGCTTTGTATTCAAAGTAACTACGAAGTTTATAACCGTCCTTGCATGTCTGAAGAACACGAATGACTGCATGCAAGTCGTCCGGGGGAGGATTTGTGCATGTGCACCATGCCACCATGAGATATTGAAAGCTTGCCATAATTGATTTATTCCTGTTTGCCTTAACTTGTAAAGCTTTCAAACTTAACTTTTTAATAACAAAGTTTTCTCAGTATCCTGTGTCTAATCTTTCAGATCCATTTGTGGAAGTATCTCTGTTGCAGAAAGACAGAAAAATAAAAGTGCAAAGAACATCGGCAAAAAAGAAGGAACAGAACCCGAAGTACAACGAGACACTAACATTTGACGTTCCTGCCGAATATCTACACGAATCTAGCTTGTTATTTTGTGTTTTAAGTAAAACAAAGGGATCGTATTTGGAAGAAAATTTAGGTAAAGTTTTACTAGGAGCTGATGGAAGTGGCGAGAACTTCGATCATTGGGAAGAAATGAAAATTGGAACAAAACCAAGACCAAGATGGCATAAATTAAGAAAATATTTTTAGCAATTTTAATGATACTAGTAAAAATAGTTGTAACTCTTCACTTACCTTAACTATATGTACTATTTAAGACACGAGTAGGAGTGTTTTATCAGATATAAAACGCGAGGCGCAGCCGAGCGTTTTATATCTGATAAAACACGACAACGAGTGTTTTGAATAGCTTAAAGTGCCCGACACAAAAAATTATTTTCAGTCTGTTGAAAGTACTCATTTAGTCCAGTGTTCTAGTGAAATTTTAGAGCCGTTTGAATCCAAATATTTTTGGCTAATGGCCCGATGGCCGTCGGCGACAGGAGTCTGGCACTAGCATTTATTGTGACGTCACGCAAGTGAGTCGAATCTTGATGGTCAGTTATCTGTTATCTGTTTTGAACTTTTGATCAGCTCGAAGGTTTTGATCGCTGAATTGTTTTTACATTCTAAGTTCCTTCGTGGTTCTATATGGACAACAGAATCCGACAGTAGCTATCAGTCTGATGATTCCGGTGTGAATTTTATACCGAGTTAATAATATGTTGTGTTGGAAGATGCTGATCTGTAACATCTCGTCAAGTCTAGGGTATTATCATTAATATTAGAGACCTTACAATCTTAGGACGGCAACGGCTACCAATACAATAGATCATTAAAAAGAATTGAGTAATTACAATATATGAATAATTTAGACATTGTCCTCGCCCTGTTTATAACGCCAAATCACAGATTTTCACGTGTTGATACAACGGCTGCATTCCAAGCCACAACAAGTGCAACTTCAAACTAGGTTTAGCAGAACTCTTCCCAACCATAAACGACAAACTATATCTACTACCATTTATTTGAAGGAGTTTGTTTTGGTCGTCGCCGTCCTAAAATCGTAAGGTCTCTAATAGAACACGCCGACTCACTTGCGTGACGTAACAAAATCGCTCGTTCCAGTTTCCTTCGAACACGGACGCTTGCCAACCAAAAGCCCAAATTTTGCGTGTTCAAACGGCTCTAAAATTTTTTCGTTACGATGAAATCGAAAAATTCGTTCGCTTGAACACTATACTAAATGAGTACTTTCAATAGACTGGAAATCATTTTTTGTGTCAGGTGCACTTTAAAATACGACTACAAAAGAATACTAATTAAGATGAACAATTATATAATCATACTAATTAGGATGAACAATTATATAAAGAATCTCGTAAAGAGTACTAATGAAGATGAGTTTTATCAGATATAAAGTCACTCCACGCGACATATTATGGCTGACATGATTTGCCACAATTAAGGTTTATGAATTATTGAGTATTTTAATTATCAATATAATAATGTATCTTTTAAGGCAGTAAACTCCAATCAGTTTCAAATGTCTTCGGACAGATGCCACAAAAACCTTTAATGTGAACAAACGTCGATCCCCCCCGCTCCCTATTCAATGTTGCGTGCCATTTTCCGTCAGATTTGATGCGTTGAAAAAACAGCATTGGTTGGGGGGAGGTGCGGTATTGTGCATATTTGCATAATAAATGCATGTGTCTCAACAACTTTTGAAAGTGATTGTGGGGGTCTTCTTCTAAAACCCTTAAACGGTTTCAAATAGATCCCTAGCCCAGCCTTGAGTAAAATATATTACTTTTTTGTAGATACCTTATATAAATATTTTGTAAATGGGCAAAACATTGAAATAAATAGAAAAATTGCTACCAGAAGATAAAACACCAAAAGTTACGTTTCTTAATTCAACGTTTTATTCACATTAAAGTACTTATGACACGAAATTTACCCACGTTTGCAAGCATATTTTACTCTCGGTTGCATGCTGATTGCAAACAACTAAGAATTAGAGCTCTGTACACTGTTTGCAAGCTATTATATGTCAGGAACAAAAGGCTTCATTCGCTTTACGATTCCTATACCTGTCCCAACTTTTTCTCATATCTTTTCGATATGAGAAAACGTTCCGCAAGAATTTCATCAAGCTCGACTCCGAGATATGTCATCGATTTAACACAACGAATTTGTTGATTGTTGATCATAACGTTACAACTCCTACCTCGCTAAGATTACGAACAGACCAAAAAAAACATGACTTTAGTTTTGTTTTAGTAGGATTTCTTTTTAGCCATGCATTTATATTTTTAAATCCCTATATTTTTAAATCCTGATAAGTTCAGTAATATCATGAGAGGACGAAAAAATTTCAGTATCGTCTGCATATAAGCAAAGAATTGTCTTTTCAAGACAATCGGGTAAATCATGGATATACAATAGGAACAATAAGCGACAAAAATTAAACTTTGTGGAACGCCACATTTCAAATGCCTACTCTCTATTGATAAGAAAGGATTCGAACGAGTTCAATTGGACGTTAGAGATATTCTCAACGTTCTCTTCACTTTTACAGCAATATATCATGACTAATCGAGTCAAATGGCTTCCAAATGCCAAGAACGACAACCCCGTTTAGTTTCCCGTCGTCCATATTTTGTAACCATGCATTGATCACACATTTGGATTATAAGGCTGCTGCTAGAGTGCAAAGGACGGAAACCGCATTGATAATAAGATAACAATATGTTGTCTGTTAAATACGCATAAAGTTGCATGGTTGAAAGCAAATCTCTCAAAGACCTAAATTAGAATGGGGCAAAATTGAAATTGTTCGATATTACTCTGCTCGCCAGCACTTGAGGTCATGCAATAACCGAGATCAACAACAAACGTAACCATCCTTCGTCAGCAACTTCAGCACGTCACGTGATCGGGCAGGACTATATAGTACATATGGTGTGTAGAGCGTCAGTTATTGTGGTATGTGAAGTGAAACAGACTGAAGGTAAGCAGTAATTGTTTTCTTTCTTGTGTTACTTGATTCTGCTGCTTAATTGTTTTAAGTTATCGATGGACAGTGGTCAGCTCAAAATTCCATTTTGTATGGATTTTAACCGAAGTCCACTAACAGTAGTCGTCCCAGTTATTTTAAACCATTCAATAAAACAAAACTTTATTTCTCAGGATCGTCCTTCGCCACCCCTCGTTTAGTTAAAGGAGATCATGGTCCTTTGCGTAAAAAACACTTAGCATAACAATAGTGCCATCCAGTTATGATCCAGAGATCGGAATAGTCCATTGTCTTTTCATCATACTCATTGTTACAATCAAATTTTGAATATCTTCCAAACAAGTACCGCTGTCGAGGCTGCTGACAAAACAGCCAGTACAAATATCCCATACATAGAACACATTATGAATGTACTGATAAACTCTTCTGAATATAAAATGATTACAGCTTGTTCTAGCCTGTGCTTCTCAACAACTCGTGCGAGTTTTTCTCGCTCTGTCGCAGTGAGCTGATGCAAGCCTGAGGTGAGGCGACACAGGTCCGACACAGATACATCTATTACTTGTAACTTTCCACGGAGACGAAAAAATGAGTGAGTTTTTGTAGAATTTTCGTCATCTTGTAGTGTCTCAGTTTTTACACAAAACGTGAACCACGAGTTTAACCATACCTCTAAATTTTTAACTTTTATTATATAAATACAGTAAAAATGCCACAAGAAAAGAAGAAATTCCATGCATGTCGTGAATATAAGTAACTTTTTGCAAATACATGCCTTTGGTTCCACGAAGAAAGGCCAAACTGCGGCAAAAGGAAGTACAAAAAATACAAGTGACAAAAGAAACGCCCAAATCGAACCAAGTCTTGAGAAGCCCCCACCAAAACACAACAATGATTTTGTTTTCGGTTCTTGTTCATGGTTTGTCATCAAACAGGCATTATGACAGACGGCTGTGTAGTTTATTTTGTTGTACGCTCCAAACAACATGAATGGCTTAGGAACAACAGTGAAATATTTGTGTTGATTATTTAGTAATGACTGTAATTCGCCATGTGTGCCAGTGAGAACTTCTTCCAATCCACCAGAGGAGGTAAATTCGTTTGCAATATAGTCTGACGGATGTAAAGAAGGCATCTTCAATCTCTGTGGAAATGGAAAACATTGAAATTTGATAAGTATAAGTACTTATTTAATGACAATTACACAGGACATGGTTGCCCATGCATATCACCTGATGATAAACGTCTAAGATACTACTTTTCGGCAAACGGCTACTGAACTATTTTAGTTATTTTTTGGTGAGGCTATAGTTTTTGGCAAATGTCTAAGGGCTAGTAGCCTAGTACCTTTGGTGAGATGAGTTTTTTTGTAAAAGGCCAAGGGCTAGTTTTTTTTGTGAGGCTAGCTTTTGCTAAACGCGGCTACGACCTAGTTTTTGGTAAGCCATAGTTTTTGGCATGGCTATAGTTTTTTGGTAAACGGCTAAAGGTTAAGTTCTTTATAAGGCCAGTTTTTTGTAAACAGCTAAGGGTTAGCTTTTGGCGAGGAAGGAGAATCGGAGGACCCAGAGAAAGACCTTCGAAGTACAAGACTAGAAAACCACCACTGTATGTACTTACGTTATCCAACCTATAGCTAAATCCCCTGTATACCGTTAACTCAGCGGTAAGGGGCAGCGCGCTAACCGTGTCTGCCATTCGTTCTCCTTTAAATGCACTGTAAAAATAATTGAGACATATTGTGGTAAAGATCTACCATCACATGTTTGCAGGTAGTGCATCTATTTTTGCTGTTTGCACTGTCTTATTAACGTAATCAGCTACCAAGTAGATCAATTGCAAAATCGTTACGTATTCAAATTCATATACGCGTGGACGGGACTCTATATATAGTCAGCTAACAGATCACTATTTTAGGTTATCGCATATTTGGTGAATTAATCCACAATGATTCCCTTTTTCCTGGAATTCATTGTTTATCTACAATTTATTATATTAAATGATGCATTTGAGACTTTTTTGAAAATTGGGGTGGAGGGTGCCGTTCCCATCAGGGAAAAGAAACCTAAATAGTCGGTCGGTGAACTGGAGAAGTGCTCACATGGGAATCTGGGGTTTCTCCCCCAGAGCTGATCCACTGGAACTTAATTGGTTTCCTGCATTTTCAAACGCAATCACATCCAGTCAATCCAGACAGATTGAACTTTCATCATAAAAGCAAGATTTAGTTATGGGGAATATGACATCACTCTTCCAAACTTTCACTTTTGCGATGATATTTTGAACAAAACTTACAATGTACTGTCACCAGAAATTTGGGACATTTGCGCCGTCGTTCAGAATCAGCGGAAATTGCATAATAATAGGCAATTCCAGCTTTTAGTTTATGCCTGCAGGGGATGATGGGAAGTAAGGTATCATGTTGCTGATTATGCGGAAAAATGTCAATAAAAACTACCGAAACAACCGAAATATTTCAATATTTACAAGTATAAGCTATCACTCCGTGTTTACACGGCCACCATTTTTATTTTTTCAGCATAATCAGCAATGTGATACCTTACTTCCCATCGTCCCCTGCACGCATAAACAAAAAGCTGGAATTGCCTATATATTGTTTTCACAAAATGACTTCTGACCGCTACCCATCGACTTCCCAAAAGTGCAAGAAAAAATGAACGTTAAGAGACTTTTCAAACTGATTTGCTGCGAGAAAATCTAAGCTTTTACGAATCCTATGGAAAGCAGTAAACCTTTCTGAATAGAGCGCAAGCTGCGATCGGCCTCGCTCGTGCAAATCGAACAATTTGTGGCACAAGTTACTGTAGATTATATGGAGACTGTGTGAATCTACGCAAGAAAATAAATCGATCTCGGGAACCATGTGGAGGCAGTAGAGCTGGAGGTTAGCGCACGTTTTTCAGTTGATTATGTAGCTTATACGGTGTACATATCGAGCTGCGATCGGGGGAGCAATAAGCGATAACTGGCTATATTCTATATATTGTTTATATTGTGTACGCGTGTCGCCTAAGGCAAAAGACACATTCAACTCTGTGAACTTTGTCCGCAATGTTGTCCGCGATTGCTTGTTCTTGCATAAATTAAATCCCCAGTTTTGGGAACTTAATTTATTCAAATTTGTGATAATAAATTTGTTCGCAATAGTACCGAAATTTGAGGTGACTTTACTGTAAACATATTTTGGTATGTTACTCATTCTATGACTAAAATATTGCATCGTTTACACATTGTTCTAGTTGTTATAGCTTTTTGTTGTCCTAACATTCAAAATATATGTTATTTTGAATGATTTGTTATTACTAAAATCACTAAACTGGCCACATCCCGCTAACATTTTCAAACGGGGAAAGACGTTTGATAAACGGGGAAAGACGTTTGATAATTCCAAATTCAATTTTCGTTCAATCATGTGATCAAATTGTTTCATCATTTTGGTCACATGACTTCACGATTTTGTTATCAATTTATTTTTGTACATGGGTTTCTAATTTTATTATCCAATCAGGTGCGTAGTTTTGAATTAAACGTCAGAAATTCGTCACTCAACATTCAAGTTATTCAAACGTAAACAAGGTCACAAACATCCAAACGAAGGTCAATGCAACAGAATATATGAAATATTCGTTTTATGTTCATTTTAAAGTTCCATAATCGTAATGAACAATCTATCTAGTATCTTTATAATATGATCTCCCTTTTAGCGAAAATATGATCTCCATCTTGTAATATACTGAGTTGTTTCGAAGTTGACTGGGAATAATTATTATAAATAGCACTGTCAAATAGTGAAGTCATGTGACCAAAATGATGAATCAATTTGATCACATGATTGAACGAAAATTGAATTTGGAATTATCAAACGTCTTTCCCCGTTTGAAATTCTTAGCGGGATGTGGCCAGTTTAGTGATTTTAGTAATATAAGACCTAACTTCTGAAATACTATAGTCAATACCATAAATGGTTTATGTAAATAATAATCTTATGCAGGCGATACTGGAATTTTATATTTTCATGCCTCATGGTCATGACAAATTTGGGCATAAAAATGTTATTAAAATGTTTATAGATACTCGAAAGAATATGACGAATTTAAATATGTTTGAATGATATGTTTGCGATGTTACTCTGAGCATAGAGATTATAAATAACACTAGAGGAGGCATCGAGTTTAAAAATTGGGAACGCAGCTAATGGGGGGCAAATTCAAGTCCCGGATATAAAATTGTGCTCTCATTGGCTGATTTGAAACTCGTCACCAATGGGAACACGAATACACATCCGGGACTTGAATTTGCCCCCCAATAGTCGCGTTCCCTTTTTTTTACTGAATTAAGATTACAATGCCTCCTCTAGTGTTATTTATAATCTCTATGACTCTGAGTGCATATCCACACCGGGCGAGCTTGAAAAATATGCCCGGCCACGGTGGGATTCGAACCTACGACCTTTGGAATACTAGCCCAATGCTCTTCCAACTGAGCTACGCGGTCAGGACGGTTCGAGTAAGTGATATTTCGGAACAGTATCTAGTTCCTTCAATACCAATGTGTTCTTGTAATATGAATTTTTTCTGTGCTGGTGTTGTATACTCAGGTGAATAATATGTTTGTGATGTTACTCTGAGTGCATATCCACACCGGGCGAGCTTGAAAAATATGCCCGGCCACGGTGGGATTCAAACCTACGACCTTTGGAATACTAGCCCAATGCTCTTCCAACTGAGCTACGCGGTCAGGACGGTTTGAGTAAGTGATATTTCGGAACAGTATCTAGTTCCTTCAATACCAATGTGTTCTTGTAATATGATTTTTTTTTTGTGTTTGTGTTGTGTACTCAGGTGAATAATATGTTT